TAAGTCATTGATTGTACAAAATTCAGTCATTCTTTCTCCAGCTTCATTTTTGTCACCAAGCCCATGTTTTCCAACTACTGATTCTTCTTCTCTGTTCCCAACTTTTGCATTCCAGTCATTCAGTATTATCAATGAATCTTGATTTCATGTTCGAGCGCTCTCCACCTGTAAAAGTTCCTAGGAATCATCTATTTCTTCTTCTTTGGCTCTGGTTGTTGGTGCATATATCTGAATAATAGATACCATAAAGTTTGGCATTCATAGTGACCCCATGTACAACGGAGCAGAACACTGCCACATCCTGTCTCGCTCCACAGTAGAGCTATGGATTTGAGGCCATTAGTGCAGCCGCTGTTTCAGACCACGTCACTGAGTGTCTTCCTCTTTTTCACTGACCCTTCACTTTACCAAGCATGATGTCCTTCTGTAGAGACTGGTCCTTCTTGATAACATGTCCAAAGTATGTAAGAGTATCCCCATCCTTATTTCTAAAGAGCACTGTGGTTGGACTCTTCATAGACAGAATTGTGAGTCCTCACCTCACCTCACCTCATCATTGCCATTGAGTCAGAACCAACTCATAGCTGATCCACCAGCAAATTTCCAGAGACTATAAATTGCATGGGAGGAGGTTGCCCATCTTTGGCCTGGAGAGCCACTGGTCGATTCATAGTCGTAGAAGGGCAACATCTTGGAGCTGGCAGCACAACTCTGTGTGGATTGCACAACCAGAGCTTGATTTCTAAGTAGTTAAATTGTGTCACGACGTAACCCTGCAGTAACAGATCTGCAAGTATTATATAGAAAATATGGCAGCCTTGCTGAAAAGCAATAGTAAGTAGCAAGAACAGGAATGAATTCATTCAGCAGATTTTTCTTTGGAACCCATTCCATACTTAAACACTGTAGCTAATGGGCTAAGTAAATATAGAAAATAGGGCCTCACTCAAGAGCTCCCTTTGTGGGAAGCAGAATCCAGATACTCAGCCCAGGCTGTGACTCAGGCGACCCACTGTGCGTCATAGCTGGGTTGCTCTCTAATGAGTGTCCTTACTTTTAGTTTAAACACAGCAGCCTTTGTTTGAAATGCTCATTTATTGCAAAACAAAGTTGGTTAAAGTCAAATTTTGTTTTTATCAAATTGTTTCCACTTGAGTAGCAATAAACAACTTTCTTTAAGAGTGAAGACCACTCTGAATCAAGATTTCTGGAGCGTCTTCTTTCTGACCAGGACCGTAACGTAACAGCGCAGTGATAGCTCAGGTCCCTGGTTGCAAGGCATTTAATGCCCAGGTATGTGGACTCTGAGAAGTTCTCAGAGGATTGCCAATTTTATCTATCAGCATCAGCATCAAGACTTAAAAGTTTGCTTAAATGGAAAATGCATTGACAGCTTTGATCATAGATTGGTTTTCTGTGTCCAAGAAAGAAATACAATTTTTAAAGTCTTTTCCTTCCTTCATCATTCCCTTAATAATGGGAAAGAGATGAGAAAATGATGACCCTTCAAGTTGCATAATTACAAAATTTTTAATGAGCCTTTTTAAAGATTTCACTTGTAAGGATGCAAATTAGTAATCAGTTGCTTCACAGTGTGGTACAGACTCACGAGGTTATATTAAATATGTGTAATGAAAGGTTTATGATAACGACAAAGTAGAAAATTATATCATAAATCACACTTCCCTTTTCGAAGATAGCAAATTAAGTATTCAAGTAGTGCCAGCTTAGATTTGCAAAAGATGCTCTCTTAAAATATTTATGTAAAACAAGAACCTGTCTCACCTATTCATTTTAGTTAAAGTTTAATTTTAAATTATAAGATTTATGTTGGGCAGGGGAAAGTGTGTGTACTGTTTTTACTAATAACTTATGCATTTATGTACATATGCTTAAAAGATGTCCAATTAAAATGGAACTCGTTTATTATTTAAGCAGTAACAAGCTCTGCTTCCTGTCTTACCAAGCCATGCAGAACAGTAATCAAACATTGCCATTCTTTTGCCATTGTATTATCAACTTCTCTTCTTTATATTTGGTTGCCTTTCAAATTTTGCATTTAATTTAGACACATTAGTTAAACCACCAAGCCTGTATTTTGTTCCTTAACATTTTTATTTCCTATAATTCTGTTAACATTCCATATAATAACACTTAAAATAATTTCAGAAGAGTTAGTAAAATTGCACATCTCCAGGAGTTCCTGTTGCAAGCATATTGTGTCATTCCCTCTAGAATGTCATGGCTGACAAACAGGAAATAGTTACATGTACAGATTCTGCCAACTGAGAACATATACAAGACTTACTGGAGAGTTAAACATTAATTTGAGTATTTCTTTGGAATGTACAGTTTTTGGTTAGCTAGCTAAATGTATCCAAATTCTTGAATATTTGTCACCATGTAGGGAGAAAACATCTAAGTGGTCATGTTCTAAAAGATGCATTTTTTTTAAAAAAAAAGAAGAGGTTTTAAAAAAAATTCCCTTATACTCTGTATTATATACAGGCTTCTATATCACATCTAACACCCATAAGACTAAGCATTGTGTGAAAAATTGAGAACAAATTATCACTGACAGATGCAATAGAAACAAAATAATGAAATTTGTGGTGTAAGTTTCTCATTTTCACATTTTAACAATATGCCTTTCAGTAGTTAGAGGTGATGGATAAAAAACATTTAATGGGGATAAAAGTATTAAATGTCATCAGTATCTTGAATGATAGTCCTCAGCCTATGCTTTTGTACTAAATTTGAGTATACTAAAGGATTTTGCTTCTCAAAGCTGGCTTTCATTTTGTTACTACACCGATATGACAAAGATGTGTCGTGGTAGCCTTGGATTACTAGAGTCTCTAGTTTTTAGCCACAGTAATGCTATGATGACTTTGTAAACATCAAATGTCTGCCTAGACCTGGGAGGGTATTTAGGAATCAAAGAAGCACATTCTAGACATTTTTGTGAAAAATGATGACGCCTGTATTTTTTCACAGGAGAGGAGCTGTGCACCAGCCTCAAAAGAGGGTGTACCTTGGATTGTCCCTTTGGTTTCCAAACAGATGCCCACAACTGTGAGATCTGCCAGTGCCGCCCACGGCCGAAGAAGTGCAAGCCCATGATCTGTGACAAGTTCTGTCCACTTGGATACCTGTACGTACTTCCTTTCCTTAATTGCCTAGAACCTTATTAATCTTGTTTTGTTAGCTGTTTCGTGTATGGGAGTGGATTAATGATGTGTTGTGTCCCAGATGTCCATGTCATTAAGAAAACACAGAAAGGATTGTGCTTCCAAAGATAAAAATCAAATTTCCCTCTTACATTTAGGAAAATGAGCAGAGCCTTGTTAGGAACCTGCCCTTTGGGCCTCTTCTACATACTTTCCATAGCAAGGCCCCTAGAACACGGCTGGAAGGAAGACAGGATTGCCATGAGGTCCCAGTTGTGTGAGCTATAGCTTTTCACAGCTGCGCCAGCAACTGCTTTGTAATGGTTCATTTAAGGTCAGTTAACCACCACTTATGGACATTACAGTGCGTCCTTACCTAGTTTTTTTTGCCCTGGAAAGCAGCAACTTTTTAACTTACCTTCTTCACATAGTAATAAGACTTTATGAATTTACCTGGAGATATAAACATGACTTATATTTATTACTTCGTCAAAACTACAGTGACAACCTATATTGTTCAGGGAGAAGATAGACACTTGGCTGTCTGTTTCTCTGGATCTGGTTTGGCATTTTTCCTCTGACTATATATCACTTTGGCACTTAAAAGAAAAACACAACTCCTTTGGCAATCATTCTTTATCAATCTCCGTCCAATTTAAGTATCTTGAACTTTCCAATTGGATGAGTGTATGTAGTGATAGTAATTGTAAGCTTTAACTCTGGTCCGTAGACCATAGAAAGTTACACTCTAACCCACAGACAAAGGCACTGGTGGCTTGAGCCCACAAGCGGCTCTCAGAGAAAAATAGGCAGTCTCCTCTTGTAAGATTTACAGCCTCGGGAAACCAGTGATGGTCAGCTGTGAGTTGCTTCTAGCTCGAGTGGCAGTGAGGTTAAGGAGTAATGGTGAAAATTTAGAGCCATTTTTTCTTTCTTACTTTGTTTCATTATCTTTTTATTCTTTCTCTTGGAAATTCTAGTTAAGGGAAGGAGACTCAATTCTAATTTTAATTGGGAAAACATAAATACTAACTTACTTGGATAGTTCCATTGGGAACAGTATGCTTAGAAATTTCTCATCCTCTCAAATCATCAGTGCTCTTGATCCTAAATATGAAAGTGATACCAGTAAGAGTATAGTTAGTATTTAGCTCCACTTGTTCCAGTATGATGGTAGTTCAAAATCTAGATTGCATTCACATCCAACATTGGGTTTGAAGAGAAAAGATTTCCTGGTGTTGAGCACATATTTGCAGGCAGGCAGTGTCCATTTCATTTCATAGGATATGTGAGGTTGTAGATAAGATTTTTTTGTCCACAGGCTCTCCACTTACTCTGCTCTGATGTTGTTAGTCAACATATATATCGCATATTTAATATTATCACTCGGCTTAGCACAAAAGTAGAACACTCTATAGAAGAGTGTTCTTATAAGAGGAAAAATCAGTTCATCTAGCTTTCTACCCCAAGTGCTTAGGGTAAACCCCTTGGGTGGAATATTTCAAAACTGATAATCTTTTACAACTAGACATCATGAACTAACTCTTGGACCTTAACTGTAGGACCTCTCAGGCTTTTTTTTAATGTGGTATGCCTAGATCTGTGGGTCCTTAGGTTATTCTGTTTTTTATGAGTTTTAGAAATGTATTAGTAAAATTTTCACAGATCTGTGGATTCTCAGAGAATGTGGTCAAGTGAGGAAGCTCTGTGATCTTTCACTGCTAGTTGCTAGTCTTTTGCAGCATTGACCAACAGTGCAGCCTTCACAATCCTGTTCATAGATTTTTTTTTACCTTTTTTATTGTTGGTCCGTGTTTCCTAACTAACTCAACAGCTGTGTCATTGGGATTCTGACATTGAGTCCTAGAAGCATGTAGTACTTGTGAAGTTTTCAGTCTCGGTCTTGGTCATGATCATAGGCATGGCCTGTCCTAGCCACAGGGCTTTTTTTCTCACCACTCCAGGATCTCAATGCTACCAAGTCTTAAGAGAGCAAGAGTCATTGCATTCATTTAATAGCACTATCACCTCTGTGCAGTTTGTTTCATTTGAGACTTTTTTATTTTCTGACCTCTGACAAAATCTTAATTACCCAGGAAGAATAAGCATGGCTGTGACATCTGTCGCTGTAAGAAGTGCCCAGAACCCGAGTGCAGTAAGATCTGCCCCTTGGGCTTCCAGCACGACAGTCACGGCTGTGTTATCTGCAAGTGCAGAGGTAAGTGCGAGCATATGGCCCTCTCACTCAAAACAGGTAGGAGCCCAAGAAGGACAGTGTGTGAATGAAACCATTTGAGTGATTGCTTCCTGCTCTGATACAAAACTTTTTCTCTGGGGTCCATCCCGGAGGTCTCCCTTTACCTTTTCATCTTAAAGAGTAAAAGCTTCAAATAGAATTTAAAGCAAACATCTAATATGTAAGTGCATTGATTTAAGCTAATTACCTTAGCTCTTGAGTTTTATTTGCCGAGGAACTTTGACCTAAAGCACATTTATTTTGACCTCTATCAAGTGCCCTTTTTTCTTAGGATCTGAATAGTTCAATTGATGACAGAAAGGAAAAAAATAATCTCCTTTTCAAAACTCTTGAAGGATGAGTGTGGCTACAATGTCCACTCATTTAATTTCTAGTAATAGTTTTTTGTGAGAACTGAGGCTTTTGCCAAGTAAACATTTGCTCAGTTGACATATGTCAGCTGTAGCTGCATAGAAGCATGAAGTGTGAGTGTCCTTGTTGCCTGGTTCTTGCTATGGGATATGCCTAAAGCCACATGAGCCCATTCCTAGCCCTGTCCTATGTGCTCTCCACGCCAGTCTGATTTTGTTGTTAATTTGTCCACAAGTTAAGCAATGAGTGGCCCTAAACATTGTTCTATGTTTGTGTTCAAAAGTTAGACCACTTTAATACCTTTAAAGTGTTTTTTAAGGAGACAGCATTAGAAAAAAAAATCTAATCACTGTTTTAGTGGTTCTGCTGAGTAAAAATATGTTGCAAGGGTCCTGGAATTGCCCCATTGTGTAAAATGATTGTTCTGTACCTAGCTAAACATACATGTATGCATGCATTTTGTTAAAAAAAAAAATCGAAGAAGGGACAAAGTAGTGTACACTCCATTGAAACAGATGAGAGAAAGAACTGCTTAAAAGTAATATGTGATTAGGTTTTATTTGTATGACAACAGTCCAGAATAAGAGCTTTATAGCACAGTGAGTTGGGGGTGGGGTGGGGTGGGATTGTACCAAAATGAAAGGAAATTTTTTTTTTCAAAGAGAAAAGCAAACTGGGGAGGCAGGGAGGAAAATGTGCAACAGTGAATGAATGGAAATCCAAATTCTTTCTACACTTTCATTAACATCTCTATTAAGAAAAGAAAAAAATCAATACTTGCTTATTACGTAAAATATGAAAATATCAAATGGAAAGAGTCCAGAGAAAAGCGTGCTTACAGGCTTTTTGTTTGGTTTTGCTGTTTGTTGAGGTTTTTAAAAATATTTTTTATTTTCATGAAATTGAAATCTTATATAACATAAATGCTTCTCATGAGCATTCCTGTGTCACTGTCCCTTCAGTGGCTTTGTGCCGCTACCTGTAAGCATACGGTAGGTCTTTCTCCTGTGCAGTAGCTGCTGCTTCACCAGGCTGTCTTGTGTCTGTCCAGAAGTCCCTGCTTCACCTGGACCACCTGTCCTGTCAGATGCGTGTCTGTCCATGGATGGCCATCATCATAAAAATGAGGAAAGCTGGCATGATGGGTGTCGGGAGTGCTATTGTCACAATGGACGGGAAATGTGTGCCCTGATCACATGCCCAGTGCCTTCCTGTAGCAACCCTACCATTCACCCTGGACAGTGCTGCCCGTCATGTTCAGGTAATAGCGGCCACTGTCTGTGAGTGTCATCGCAAAGGACTTCTGTGCTGCTAGCTGTGCATGTTTCTCTGACTGGGCAGAACACAGAATGTCTGACAGCTATCCGTATTTCAATCAGCCACAAAAATTCCTAGGTATCATAAAATACTAACCAAAGACCAGAGAGATTTCTAAAATTCCAGAAATGGTGGTTCTGACTTCTTTAATAGTTCATTCTATTATACACACACACACCCCCACACCCCTTTGGCCCAGTTTGCTTTCTCTATGAATCACAACAAATATTCTTTAACACTCTTTTTTATAGATCAGTTTTCATTCTATTAATTTTCTTTTCTGTTCCATATCCTAAAAGGCTGGATTTAGTTGCTTGTGAAAATAAGCATTAGCTAATGTCAGTTTTCTGTGATATGTAAGCTTAGTTAAAGTCCCTGGAGATAAGGCTGTTTTAAAAGTTACTTCCTTCACTGGAAATCAGCCCCAAACCACTTTTTATCTCATCAGTATCTCAGACTCTCAAGCTCATCATTACTTTAAAAGAAACAACCCAGATGAGCTCTTGGGGCATTTTAACTGGGAGCATCTCTGCGCAGATGTGGGTGGGAGTTCTCCCAGGGCCCCATCCTCCGTTGAGCTCCAAGCATGAGCTAGCCATGCTGTCTCCAGATACTTCTTGGCAGTGTTTGACACTGTCAACACCTCTTGAAGTGCTTGTTGTATTTGGATTACACAGATACAGTTAATGTCTTCATTTTTCTCATTTCCCCAGCACAACTCCAGGGCAACTCCCAATACCTCTCAAGGCTGTTTCAACATTAAATTCCCTCTCTGTCATTATCATTTCACCAAGGGACTGAAAATCATCTCTCCTCTCAGCATTTATGATATCACTCAATAATGGTATCTCCAAACATTTAATCTCAGGTGTGGGTTTTCACTCTTGGTTCTGCAGGAGCATTCCTGCTCAGCTTCCTGGGGTGTGGCTTTGAAACCCCAGGATATATTTCCAAGCATATGCTCAGCATCCCAGAATTAATGAAGTAGATTGGGCAGGCATAAATCACTTGGAAATTGTGTTTCATCGTGAGGAATGTGCAGAATCCAGACAATCATGGGTTCTAGTTTAGATCCTTTCTCTGTATCTAGTTCCCAAGGTGCTGGTTGTTTAGATGTAAATTAGGGCATGAGTACCTACCTCAAAAGGCTGGTGTGAGGAATAAAAGAAAGCAAACGGAAGCACCTCACATGGAAATCAGACCATCACAGTTATTCCATAAATGAGAGCCCTTGATTCTAGACAATCCCTGTACCTTTGGTTGGTCCAGTCCTCTCTTCAAGAGTTGTTCCTAGTCATTTAATTCCCTTATTTCTGTGAATGCAATATTTCTTTATTATTCCTCTTATCAAAATAGCGTAAGTTCCCCTTCAGCAACCCCATCCCCTCTGCCCAGTCCACAGTAGCGTCGGCATCTTCAGGACTCTCTGAGACTGCAGAGGAGTGATTTCCTTGTTTTGGCTGTGTCGTTCCCCAGATGACTTTGTGGTACAGAAGCCAGAGCTCAGCACCCCCTCCATTTGCCACGCACCTGGAGGAGAATACTTTGTGGAGGGAGAAACATGGAACATTGACTCTTGTACCCAGTGTACCTGCCACAGTGGACGAGTGCTGTGCGAGACAGAGGTGTGCCCGCCGCTGCTCTGCCAGAACCCCTCGCGCACACAGGACTCTTGCTGCCCGCAGTGTACAGGTAACCAGCACTGTGCAGGGTGCAGGGTGTGTGGCAGGAAAGGACAAAGCACTGGCAGGTCACCTGGACCCCACATGGGACCATACCACGTCTAGTAACCAGTAACCCAGTCAGGAGCTTCTGGCAGCCTGCTTCATACCATCTGTCAAGCAGATTTTTATGCCATGCACCTGAACGGTCTGAAAGGAAAGTAAATGAGATTGTTTTTTTCAGTCTTTTTTCTTACCTTGTGTATGAGACTTAACAGAATATACCTACATAGAAACAATTCTTTTGCACCAAATTATGACAAATGATTTAGCGAATGTGAGAAAGTCATATATTTCTTTCACAAGAGCAGTTACTGATAAATAATGGTAAAGTCTCTTAAAAGCATAGGGTTGATAACGGTACTTTGTGCACGTTCAGTAGAGACATCACTAAAATACGTGTAATGTCCACCTTCTAGCACCTAAGAGGACTGATAAGCTGAGATCTTTGGAGAAACATCTCTGAGCATACTCAGAGAGTATTGCCACTGTGCTCTTATTTTTATTTCTCAAATAATCATCATCTTGAGAGGTAAATTTATGGTCAAGAACAAAACAATATTATTACAGTGAGATTTTGTTTTCATTTTAAATGTGTTATTGGTTGTATAACTAAATAACACTAGAATATATGGTATGGTTCTTTCCAAAAGTATTTCATTTGTGTAGAGAGAATTTATCAAGTTTAACAAAATAACTAGTTTTATTTTGTTGTCCTTAAGCTTCCGCATTTCTGTTTATATCAATAACCATCTCTAAATATAGTCTTAGAACATTTCTTTGCAGTAAAATGTAAACCTTCACATTTTGTTACTTTCAAAAAAAATCAGCCATAAAAGACAGGGTGACAGTGGGTATGGATCAATGGTGATTCATTTTATATCACAGTGTATGGGAATGGTTGCATGAGACACAGTGGGAATAAAGGAATATGTGAAACACTGTGTACATGAATGAAACAAAATGTATACAGATTTTGTGTGCAAGACAATATAAAAATGTTTAAAAAGGTAAAAAAAAACAAACAAAGCAAAAACCCCACAACGCACCACAACGTTATTTAATTAGCTATCCAGAATCTGTTGTTCTATTATTATATCCAACATAGTCACTTTCTAAATTCTTCATGGATTCTTACTGATAAAAGAATATTATTTTAATTACATCAGATGAGTGCATAGTGAAAAGCCACTGTATTTGCTGCTGTCATACACATTGTGACCCACGTGTAGTGGCCATGTTATAAGACACCAAAGTAGTCCAGCATCTTTTTTAAGTAGAAGAGACAGTACCAATGTGTCGTATTTTTAGAACATGTGATACCTCTCCCACCTTTATCTTTTTTTTTATTACTGTTTCACATTTATACCAAAGGGTGTTGCTGTTTCCTTGTTAATATAGAAACAGAACTCTGTTCACATACTCGTGATTGAATTCACTGAGTTGTTTTTTCACTGAGGATAACGAATTTGTATCGTTAGAATTTACTTTACAAATATTTGCAGGATGCCAGCTTTGAGATAGGGGGATCCTGAGGTTAGTGAAAACAGACACAATTCTTATGTTGGAATTATCCTAAAGAAGAACTAAATGATCCAGTATTCATCACTAGATCAATGATGGTAACATGAGAGGAGTATTTGAGAGGGAGGACTTCTGTCATGGAGGAGGTGTCGGAGAGATGAGCACACCAGAGATGATTAGAGGAGGATTGTTGAAAAAAGGACCTTCTCCACAAGCACCGGCAGACATTTGACTGGATTCAGAGATCTAGCCCAGCAACTTATACTTGTAAGCCCGAAGTCTTCTTGTGGACGTGTGCAAAGGCATTGCAGGTTGGAGCCGAGATGGATGTAGGCATTCGTCTCTCAGCATCTCGAACACAGCAAGCACCCAGTCATGTGCCTGGTTTTGATTTCTCATTTATAAACTTAAGCCTGAGTGGTATTTTTTTTTAACATACAGCTTGAAAGTTACTTCAGTGATAGGCATTATCTTTAAGACTTTATATTTCATATATTAGTATTCTGAAGGTTACTTTCACATCTGTGAATAAACACCTATCTAGAATCTATATTAAAAAATCAGTGACCCATCTCACGAGTGATCTTTTAAAACTTTACATTGTTTGCTATACTGCAGCACTACAAAGATGGGGGAGAGGGGAAATCTTAAAACCCAGAATGTCATTGTCTTCACATCAGCATGACTTTCAGCAACAGTGTTCGTAATAGGTATGTCAGTCACATTTGGAAAACAACCATTTATAGTCACATGACACATGAATTCTAAAACAGGCCCAAATTGTCTATATGTAAAAGAGCTAGCAGTTTCTGAAGAGCTATGTCCCTCCACGTCCTTATAACTCTTAGGATTCCTTGTCACTGGCTCTCATTCAGCTGTCCTCCTGTTTGGCTTGATTTAGGGCAAGGTCTGTGAGTCTCTGAATGATAAAAGGACCTGGACTCCTGAAGAAAGATTAAGCAACCATTGGAACAAAGCCATTTCAGAGGTATTAGAAAAAGGTTAGTGCAGAGAAGGAAGCAGAGAAAGAGAGAAGAATGGATCACCAGCAAAAGAAACTTAGTGAAGGTAAAGAAGCAAATACTTGAAAATGAAAGTATAACATCTAAAACAGGAAAAGTAGAAGGCAGCCCAAAAAAAGGAGACACAGTGGACAAAAATCCCGCATGGCATTCTAGCCAGGAGGTGAGGAGGCCTTTTTGGGAGAATAAGACCTGTGGCTGATGTCAGCATCTGCTCCCACCACCAGCACACACTGGGAAGGGTTTTTAAGGCTCTAGAACATCCATTTCTTCATCTTTCATGTCATAACTTCTTCAATGTTGCACCCATCTCATTTTTTAGATTTTTAGGCACAAGACTGGGCATTGCATGTTATAATTGGGATTTTCCAAGCATAGTGTTGACCAGGAGGTCTCTGTGTGTTCCAGCCTTACTGTGCTCAACTGCTAACCAAATAAATGATTGAATGTCAAATCTACCTGAAGGTAAAAAAAAAAAAGATTCAATGATTTGACTTAGAAAATCAGCCCCAAGTCCACTCTGACTAGTATGGAGAGTCAGAGTTGACTTGGCATCTGCCAAGAGTAGGTCCTCCTCTCCAGCCAGAGTGAAAGTGTAACATTGTTCAGTCTCTTAAAGAAATGATGATTCGCAAAAGATCATTGAGAAAAATGAGTCTGTCATAACAGATTTTAGCCCATGTGAATGTTCTCTGTGGAGCCTCACCTAAGACACATTTGGAGCATGGGAACGAGGGTTATTCTTTCCCATTATTCCTTTGGCCTCCAAGACCACTACTAGGAAATCTGGTTACACATTCTAATAAGGTTTGGGAAGTCACCATTATGCTGACGTCCCTCTAATGCCCCTCTGTTGGATCAGAGTCAGCCCAGAGTGAAGTAACTCTTTGACCTCACAAGGCTTCTTGTCAGACCAAACATGCCGACTCTGCAGTGTATTTGTAACGTTGGTGGAGATGGACGTGACATTTTGAGCTTGGGATTCACTGTTCACCCATAGATGTCCCAGTTCTCTGTCTCCTTAATCAGTTTAGAAAAGCTCATTAAGATGGTTCTGAGGAGATCTTGTAGTAACTCACTGGACTATATGTTCATTTCCTCAGATAAGGAATTTCTGGGTGGGGTCATTATGGTGATTTCTAGACTCCTGGAGGATGAACATATTAGAAGTACTTTCCTTAGAAAAGTTGTGTCACTTTTTAAACTAGGAACCTCATTAGCATACCCTCCTTTGTTGTGTCCTAGTCAGATTTCTACTTGGGCCTATAATTTTTATGCAATCTCTCAGTATCAAGGCCCAAAGAAATAGTTGGGTTTTCTGGTGATGATATTTTGTTTTTCAAGTGGTGACTTGATCTAGGGACACAGAATAGCAGACACAGACAATTTGTATATGACATCTCTATGAGTACATTTTTCTTAGTATATTAAATCTCCCATCATCCTCCAGCCATTAGTGAAAATACTTGAACATGAGAATGTTAAAGATCAGTGTTGTGTGTTTGTTTTTTAATCATCTGGTACAATGAAAATCTGAGTAGTAATTCTTTGAATTGAAAATAGCTTCAAGTAAGAAGATCCCACTTAAGTTTTTTTTTTTTTTTTTTTAAATTTAGGTTGTTTATTTTTCATTTCAATGAACATCTACAGAGATTTTGGAATTCCACTCATTCATTGTTGCATCCTTCTCCCCGCACCACCCCCCCCCCCCGTTTGCTCCTCTCCTTGAAAAGCAAAAGAAAAACTCCCCCATTGGTACACAATCCCCCCGCACCTCCCCAAAACCCATCCCCTACCCCCAAATATAATCCACTCTGCAACCCTCATTGCATACTCCTACGATAAAAATAATGCCCTAAAATATAATACTTTTAGACTATTCTCTCCCCCATAGACTTCAATGCCGTAAACATATTCCATCCAGTTTTTCTCAGTCTTACCCCCACCCCAATGCCAGCCCCACTCAAGTTTTTAAACAAATAGGTTTTCCCTAAATTATGAGAAGTCTGGAACAGATGTTTATTAGTGTGATTGAATGGCTCAGTGATAATCAAATTCAGTGTTGGCATTCCTCTTACAAATATTTAAAAAGAATATCACCACTACAAACAGCATGCTCGCGTTGGAGGAAGGAAGAAGATGAAGGATGGAGGTAGCGCTCTAGCCACTTTTTTAAAAGAAGGTTAGAGGTTTCCCAGAAACCCCCTTTTTAGCAGTGAGTTGCACCTGACCACTACGAGGTGCTGCCCTGCCTCTCCCCACCTGCATGATGACGGGAAGCCAGGCCAACAGGAGCAGAGTTGTTCCAGTTGGTTTACACCTAGTGTGACTGAGGAGCAGGATTTTACTCAGCTGAGGAACAAGGAAAGAGTGAGCTGTTTTGAGCAAGGAAGTAACAGGATGATGGTGAATCACTTCTAGTCTTTGCTTTTGGGGAAGTTTTTTGTGTTTTGTTACTGAAGTCACTTTTTTGAGACGGCATCCAAAGCCATGGTACCTGGGTGCGCTTTTATGAGACAGGATGAAACTCAGGGTGTAACACAGTTGGTGGCCTGCGGCGTTTTCATTTCCCTGCTGACTTGTATGTTCATTTTTCCAGATGTACCGCTTCAGCCTTCCTCATCCCATAATGAGAGCGTGCCTAGTTACTGCAAAAATGATGAAGGGGATATATTCCTGGCAGCTGAGTCCTGGAAGCCTGACGTTTGTACCAGCTGTGTGTGCATGGATAGCGTAATTAGCTGTTACTCTGAGTCTTGCCCTTCAGTATCCTGTGAAAGACCCGTTTTGAGGAAAGGCCAGTGTTGTCCTTACTGCATAGGTAAGACCAAGAGAAAAATCCTTTATCTCTACCAGTGGCCACAAAATCTGCATTGACAGCTGTTTATCTAGATAAGTTAATATATTTGAAATTGGTTTTTCTGATTGACATCCAGATAGACAGAGTCATTGCAGGGGGCAGTATGGAATATGTGCACCCACGAGCAAATCATAATAAGAATTCAGGAAATGCTGTCAGAGAATGACATTGTGTTGTAGAGCTTGTCATGTTCTGTTGGGCCTCTTTGCCATTTCAGGATTTTCAATATTAGAATCTTCTTTCTCCATCTTATCTTTACAGTTTCCCCCCAGGTAGAAACACTGTGTGTGCTTTCTTGGGCTCAATTAAATATGAAATATTAATTTAATCTCCCAGGTCTTCCTCTGTCCATTGTCATTTAATTAGTCCCATTTAAGCTGTGTCGCTATGCACGTTGCACACCTAGGGGCCCAGAGTGAGACTGGAGTAACTGACTGCCCTCTTCTCCTTGTTACTGTTGGTGATATTCTCGTATGCAGAGGATATTTTATGAGATATATATGTTAGCCCCCGACGTCTCTGTAAAAACAATCCTGTGGACATAAGCCAGATGTTGTTCTGGGACCCAGAAGGCAAGCCTCAGACAGCTGGTGACTCTTAATAAAGGCCCAGTCTCTGCTCCCCAGGCTCTCACTCTCCTTTATTACTCTTGCATCCAATAAAGCTCGTAAAGTCAAGTGAAAGACAATGACATACCTCTGTCCTGTAGTGAACCTAATGAAAAATTAGGCAAATCAGATAGCATGCATTTATTGTTAAAGACTTTCCTCTACTTGCTACATGCAAGTCATTGCATATATTTGGGGGTGATACCGAGGGGAGAGAAGAGATCTTGAGGCCCCAGCTTCAGCAGTTCAATAGATGTGCTCATGAATAGTGCTCAGTTCTATCTTGGCCAGAACTCAAGCCTGTCACTACAGCACTTCTTCCTTTTTGCTTTTTTGACCTCCAGCCATTTGGCCTAGGCTACTTCCTCTGAGTCTTAATCTGAGTATTTTCATATATAAGAAATGAGGAGGGGTATTTTAACAATACAATCTCTGCTCTGGGGAATTAAACAGTACTTAGGAAGAAAGTATCCTGAACTTTTCAGGAGAGAGTCTCCATCCATGTCACGTATAGCCTTCGAAAACCCACTGAAGGGTCCGTTGTGAGTCATTTGCAATTCGACAGCACATAACAACAGACTTTATTAAATTTAGGGCCACTCTGGCGACCTAAACAGGAGTGAGTTATGCTGCCAACCCGAATATAGGCAATTTTAATCCACCAGCTGCTGCTCCACAGGAGAATGATGGGCGGCTTCCTCCGGTCTGATTTACAACCTCTGACAGCCTGCCGGAGGACCAGCTATGAGTTGTCCTTGATCCGATGGCAGTGAGTGAGTGTATGACTGAGTTGAGGGATAAGCCCCTGAGTTCCATTCAGGGGAACACGTTGAGCAGAGGTAGCACTTGATAAGCATTGTCTGTGTACCGGTGTTCCCTCAGCCGTTCATCTTAATGTTTCGTGAATGCTGTTGTCTTGTTGAAATAGTCTTTAAACCTCTTCTATAGCCATTAGACTGTCTTTGCACTGGCCTCGTTAGGTTGGTCTTTATCTTTTCTAACCTAGGACCACTTATGTCCATACAAACTGATAGTCAGATTCTTTGTGGTATTCTTTGTTCTTTGCTTAGTTACGAGATTCCCTACTGCCAGCCTTCCCAATCCTGTAACAGAGCCTTTGCCACCAACCAGAAAATCCCATTAGCAAAAGAAAAGCAGAACACATTGTCCTTATGAATATCTTAAAGCATTCCAATTGGTTGTTTTGTTTTTTTCTTTTTTGCTGGACACCAAGGACCAGTGTTTGTACTATTTCCTGTTCTAGGCTCTTTCTGTTTGGACCCTTCTCCTTGCTGACTCAGCTTACCTGTTCTTAGGATCCTATGTGCCTACCTGTTGGAATGCACTGGCTGCCTTTTCTGTTCTCCAGGTGTTGACTTCCCCATGCTGCAGGTCTTTCTGGTGAATTATTCCCTTAGATTTTCAGATATTCATTGCCATCAAGAGAGAAACCAACTCATCATTTCTCCATTAGGTTTTTGAGGCTGTAATTCACACAGGAGATTAACCATCCTTCTCCCAAGGAGCAGCTTTTGAATTTGAATGCCAGAGAGACACCAGCTTTGGGCTAACTGCACAACCCCCTCTGGACTGGACTATCAGAGCAGGAGGCATGTTCAGCTTCAGATCTCATAAACCTGAGACCTATCTTTAACTTCTTTTTTTTTAAGTGATAAAATGCCTAAGCAAAAGCTTTCTGACTTTCACCTCTCTTTTTTTAATAAGAGAAATGAACAGTGACTATCCTACTAAAAGATGTCTAATTACAAATACTTGTGTTCCTTTCAGCTGTGTTGTAAAGTCACTAATGTGTAATGTTAATGCCTCTCTTTTGATGTGCAAAGAACTCATATTATGTGTACTCTTTTAATAGAATGTGTAATGCAGACATAATTAATAGGATTGATGATTAATTTTGAAAAGTGAGCAGCTTTGTCTAATTAGTTATAATACCCATCATTAGGGAATTTATCTTTATACTAGAAAGAAACGAAGTGGTAATTACCCAGTCATTTTAATGGAACATCTTATTCCCTCATTTTCTGTAGTCAAGCTTTCTGCACAAATACATGCAAATTTAGATTTCTAATAATAGGCTCTTTGGCTGTGAGGATGGCTTATAGAACGAGGAACAAGAATCAAACGATGACTTGTGTGTGAATCAGGTGGAGATAAAAGGTCTGAAAGGAATTCTGATGTGTGTGATAGCAGGTGTGTTGTGGGGTTTCTTGTAAACAGCAGATACTTCAGCCATGACACATATCAAAACTGACACACATGCAAGCTAGGACTGGCTCAAAATGTCTTTGCTAGAACTTCGCAGAGTGTAGTATGATTTCAGTGCCTCAATGAGATCGTTATCCTGTGACTCCCAGGCAATGGCAGGTAGAAGCCAGCAGCCCTTCACCTTGTGCATGTGTGCATCCCTCTGCACACCCTGTCACATCGCCCTTTCTGTTGTTTGTGGGTGATGCTGGTGCCAAGGGCCACTTTAGAAGCTTCCACAAAGGATGTTACTGCAAGATCTCACCATGTCCTCTCTGGTCAAATATTAAGAAAGAGCACAACTTGGATCATAAAAATCATTCCTAGTTGAATTTCATAGGACCTTCAAGCTATATGGCATACCTGTCTGCTTTGGAACTCAGAGTTCAGGTGTGTCCCCAGTCAAGATTCTCTGTTGAACAGAACTGATCTTAAGTAAACAAATCTTGTTTTTGTCCTTCGGCCGAGTATCACTCAGCACGTTGAATATTGCTCTGAGAATTGTGATTTGATGAGTAACTTATCTGTTGTTTAGTGTTGGCAAGTTCCCATCCAACCCCATGACCCTGTGTTACTGGGAGCTCTGGTGGCGTGGTGTGTAGGGGACTGGGCCGTAATCAAGGTGGCTCCTCTCTGCCGGTTCAGATCCACCATCCTGGGGCTGGGAGGAAGCATTCTCTTTCTGTGTGCTTTACAGCCTCTCAAAACCAGGTGGAGGGTCAGCTCTGCCTCGCAACAGTGTGCTTGAGGGTTTGCTTTTCTTTTTTTGTCTCCATTTGATAGTAGAACTGCCCTGTGGAGTTTTCCAGGCTGAATTTTATGGAAGCAGATTAGCAGCCAAACACTTAACCATCTTACCATCAGGGCTCCTTTTACTTATGTATTACCATGTTGTTTTAGCAGATATACTTGTCAGTTTAGAATTGTATTTATTGGCTGGGTATATCTTTCTCAGTGAAGCCATTTTTGTGAAATCTTAGTTTTGAATTATGGTAATTATTTAGGAGGAGGGGAGAGAGAGCGCGTGAGCGAAAGGGGGAGAGAGCGCTGCGCTGCAATCCCGAAGGCATGTGGTCCAAGACCACCAGTGTGGGAGAAGGATGGACAGTCTCCTCCTGTGCTATTAACTGCCTCTGAAAACCCACCAGAGGTTCACCTATGGGTCGGTTCTGACTCTGTGGTATACAATATTGGAAGCAGGAGTGGCATCCACTTCCTACGTACCATGCCTCTGGAAGCTCTATGAACTTTGAGAAACATTGATTGTTATAGGAAGACTTCAGCTCTTTGTTCATAGGGTCACTATGAGTTGAACTCATTCCACAGCAAGCAACAACAGCACATTTCATAAACTTGCATATGGACCAAAACCCTAAGATATTTTGATTTCTTATCTTAAGGTTACTTAGTATCTTTTTAAGTGTTTTTAAGCATTTTGTGTCTTCAAGGATCTGTGGAAACAAGTCCTGTTTTGATACAGATAGTACTAATCCTTGAGAAATTAATTTGTCACAGTTTGAACATCTGTCTTGTTGGTATTTCTTATTAATTGTGTGGCGCTTTCACACAGCGTCAGATTGTCTCAGTTGGCTTTGATATTACAGATGCATTTCTTCTCTGTGGTAATCTTCAACTAGCAAATGATTAATTGTATTTCTCTGTAATAGGGGTGTGATCTACACTTCATGTTAAGCCAGCTTCTTATGCTGAGAGAGTGTAAGGACATAGTGGAAACCTTGAGGGTGGCCCAGGATTGGGCAAGGTTTCCATCTGCTGTAGATAGTGTTAAAGTTGGCTGGACATCACTTAGCAACAACAACATTATACAGTGTTACTTTTTGCTTAGATTTCTGTTTACTGCTAAGCCATCAAAATACTGTCTTTTCCTAGCACTGCTTATAAATAGTATCTGTCTTTGGGACATCTGTTGATCATTGTGTGTTTAATTCAGTCCAGAGACCAAACAGTAAATACTCAGCTTAACATACTCAGAACATACAGCCCATGGAATTTAATGTTGTACATTTTAAAATCATGTTTTCATACTTACATCTTCACTGAAAGATTTTTCACAGCTATTTTTGTCTA